AGGGAAAGTTAATATTAAATTCTTGTTGATTTTTTTTAATTTTTTTTTTTATGTAGTATGTTACTTAAACTACATTGAATTCGTGGCTGTGTTGTGATTGAAATAAAAATTTGGTGTGGTGAATTTTTGGGTTGTTTTGAGCATGATGAGGAAAATCAATGTTTTGATTACATGATTATTACATGTTTTTGTTCTGACTAGAAATGGAATGTTGGTGAAGTGTATATGCAATTTTTGGTATTGCATGTTGGATTTTTTCAAGTTTCAGATGCACATGAGCCAAATAGTGAATTTATTAAATGTAGATTTCATTGCCGTATCAACTTTATTTTAATATTTAAATATTCTTTTATTTTCTAGTTTTGTCAACTTTATCATATAATTTTTATAACTAAAAATATTTTGTTTTAATTTTTATATATACAAATTTTATTTTCTTTTAGTTTATATGATTTTATAAATTTTACTTTTTAATTTCTATTGAAATAAACTGTTAGGATTATAAAATAATACATATAAATACTAAATGATAAAATTAATAAAATTACAAAGATTAAAAAATAATTAAATTTTAAATGCTTAATTTATTTATTTTTATTTAAAATATAATCTAAATAATATTCTAAAAACCGATGACAAATACTAATTTACACTTATATAACAAAATTTATACTAATCAATGTCACTTCCTATACAATGCAACATTGTTATTTTAACGATACAATTTTCTCATAAAAAAATATTATTTTTAAATAATGTAATATTATTATTTTTTATCCAATTAAAAATATTAACATTAGTTTATTATACATGTGACAATAAAAATTATACATCGATTAGTAAAATATTAGTTTTATACTTTTTTTTACTATCATTAATAAATAAATAATGTCATATCATTTTTAACAAATATTTTTTTCTATAATAAATAAAATAATTAATGTTTTTTTTAAAAAATAAAGTTATATATCATTATTTTGAAATCCTGATATTAGCATTAGGTATAAAATAATTAAAAAAAGAAAGTAAAAAAGCAATAAGAAAGAGAGTTTAAAATGCGATACTGTATCTGTATCTATATCCACGTGGGGCCATCACATGGAGTTGAAGATGACAGACAGAGGTTGTGACTTGTGAGAGGTAAACAAATATCGGAATCAGAATGCAGAGCGAAGCAGCCTCCGTCACCGTCGCTATCTCCAAATACCCTTCCCGTTTCTCCCATTCATCACACCTCCGTTGACTTTTTCCAATTTTCGCTTCTCCGACACAATCGCGCGCCAAACGTTACTCTCCCAGGTTGCCACCAACACTCTCTCATCGTTTTCTCCCAATTTCCTTCCCTTTCACTCCGCTTACTCGAATCTGCATTCTTTAAGTTCCATTTGCCGATAATACGAATCTCCTATGGATTTTCGAATCTGAGCCCCGGATATTATTAGCCTCTCATCAGTTTCGATATTAACATCACTTTCTGCGTGCTTTTTTTTTTTTTTTTGTTTCCGCAAATATAGGGGTTTTATTTATTTATTTTATAGAGGGATAAAACAGCGATTCTGTTGCTGTTTCAAACTTGTGGAACCGGTAATTGAACTAGCTAGACCTTGGGGGTAATGGTGCGATTTATAATTTATTTAGCCTATTATATTTGTGGTTGAATCGTGATTGACTCTATAATGTTTGAATTTGAAATAGAGCCGGATCTAAGTCCGACCACCTTTACAATTTGGTGGAAATTTGTGATTTCAGAAAATTTCTCCACAGTAAAAGAGAAGCAACTTGACTTAAACATAGGAAGTGTAGTGTTTTTCTTTTAACTTAAAGGTGCTTCATGAATCTAATTTTAGAAGATACTCTTCATAAGCGTGTGGATGCTGTTAGCTTGTCTCCTGGAATTTTTATTTTTGAATTTTGTACGGACAAGGGTGAGATATCATGACAATTTGTACCAATAGGGATTTGAATATTTATAACTATGCTTGATTGTAAAAAATATCAGGGAAATTGAAAAAATAATGATTATTATTTTTTTTTTTTTTGCTGAACACATTCCTATTATATGGGCAACATTTTCAGCTTGGGGACTCTGATCACCCCACCCCACCCAATTGCTAAAATGTGGTTTGCCGTTACTTTTTGTGTTTCAGTTCTTTGTCTGCAGTTCCTGATTTTTTGTATTATTCTATTTGTTAAAGTTTTATATTAATAGGGATAGGAATATAACAATAAGTAGATAAATTATAAAATACTATTATGTCTATAATAAAATTTTATTATAACATCGCTGAAACTTTGGTTTTCAACTGAGCCGAATGGTTTTGTGTAGTCCATGTAGCTGACCTAACTGTGTAGGATAAGGTTTTTGTTGATGTTTTACAACAACTCATGCTCACTTCTGTTGATTCTCTCTTTGATTTAAGATTTCTGTTTCGTGTTATTTTTATACTAATTTTATATATTGTATTCTAGCCATGTTATGGCCTATAATTTTATTTGTATTGCTATATTTGTGTTGTGTCACATCTGTGCACCATATTGTATGTGTTTGTCTTGTGTCATATCTAAATCTGTGCTTTCTAGGTTTCATATGAATAGAAAATTGCATTATTTAAATTTACAACCATCCTCTAATAGATTTTTTTAACTGATAAAATAACTATCTTGAGTAGCTATTAATGAAAGTCGACATTTTAACAAATAACCAAGGTCAAAAAATATCTCATGAATTCACTTGGCCCCCACAAAGTTTAGCTGACATAATTTCATTGAATTGTATACATTTTGTTGTTATAGTTAGTTGTCATTGTTTGCAGCTTGTAATTATACGAGAATAACAGCTTGTCTGCCTGATGAGCTATTGGATGAAAATGTAGCTTTGTGTCTAGCTCTCTGGTATGCTGTAATTATTTAGAAGGTGGGTAATTACTTAGATAAATTGCTATTGACTTTTGCAGTATTCTTCTTGACCTTTATAGAGTCAATACAAGACCAACATGAGTGTGGATCCAAAGAAAACCACCTCTAACGGCCAGGATAAAATGTTAACATCACAAGAACAGCAAGCATTGGTATGTGCTTTAATTTTGTTTCCTTGGTGTATCCATAATACTCTCATGTTCTTTTGAAACACGGCATTTGTAAATGTTAAACTGCAACCTTTCGAGCAAAGGAGCATTGTAGCTCATAATAATTTGCATCCTTTTAGATCATTGAGGTGAGAAGGTTGGTTGGGCCACAATCTGGTAAGGCATCCATTTTTTGTTCCGATGCTTGCATCTCAAGGTATTTGAGGGCACGAAATTGGAATGTCAAGAAGGCAGCCAAAATGTTGAAGCTGACCCTGAAATGGAGACAAGAATACAAACCAGAAGAGATCCGCTGGGTGAGTAGTTGCCTTCAGTAATTTTTGCATGACTTTTGAGACATAATGCATATAGCAGGGCAGGGATGTATCCTTGTTATTGCTATTTCTACCTTGGTATTTCTATATAGCTTGGTTAACCTTAGTATTCCCTTGTTTACACTCCTCTCTTAGGAGTAGTTGAGGGTGAATCTGAATAAACGTTAAGTGTTCTTAATTTGATCCATTGGCCTTGTTTGGCTATATCTGATCAATATCCTACCTGAACTACCAGCATCTGAATATCATATTGTCTTCAGACTTTTTATCAGAGTTCTTATGACCCATTTAATTACTGACTCACCTGGAGTGATTGTGATCTGAACATTTATGTCAAACCATCACTCTTTCTGGAATTATCTTTTGAGTAAAAATTAATTTATGTGTATCTTTTACTGATGCAGGAAGATGTTGCTCAGGAAGCAGAGACAGGAAAAATCTATAGAACAAATTACATTGACAAGCGTGGGAGAACAGTCCTAGTAATGAGACCTAGTCGCCAGGTATCTTCTGAAAATGACTTTTAACTTCTAGCATGTTTATTTATCCAAGTCGGATGTCTAGTGTAGTAGTGTTTGCTTAGAAGTTAGAATAAGTGAAAATGGAAGAACGAGAATGAGGGATATAATTAAACATATTTTGTCCACCTACCTTCTGTTAGGAATTCAGAGTAGAAAATAGAAGAAAAGGAAGATGGTATTTCTTGATTGCAAAAGAACAAAAAATAGGAGAGATAACTCTCCTTCCAAGGGTTTTCTCTTCACAAAGGATTTCTCCTATCACAAAGAGTTAATGTTCAATCTACAATTGAATCTGAATGAATTGCAGTCCTCCTATTTATTTATGTAACTAACTCACAATAACCAAGTAATATTGAAGCTATCCTAAATAACTCTCCCTTCTCAAAGTCCTTAACACCTTTCAAAACTGAATCTAGATCACTTCCAACCCTTATCTTAAGAGAGGAGAATAAGGAGTATTTTGACCATATTCCTAGTTAATGTAGAATATCTTAAGATGCCCCCCTTCCTCCCTCTCATGCCTAGTATTAGACATCTAGAGCATGAGCTGGACATTTGTAGGTGATCCAACTTGAAGACTGAAAGAAACCAATCAGACCTAAAGTAGGACTTCATTTGGAGTAAAGTTTGTGAGATTGGACATATGCAATTGGCCCATCTTCAAGACTAGAGACGCTTTGATATCATATTAGAAATAGGTGGAACCTAACATTATTACATTATTTCCAACAGAAAGAACTCTTTTGCTCCTTGCTTTGACACTGAAGTCAGATTTGATGGATTATACCTGCATAGCTGGTTAAAATCTTGTTATTGCTTTTGTTGAGGAATGTTATCCATGTTTCTAAATTTTTTCTTCTTTTTTTGGGTGCAGAACTCAAAATCAACAAAAGGACAAATTAAATATTTGGTATATTGCATGGAGAATGCTATTTTAAATCTTCCACCAGAACAGGAACAGATGGTCTGGCTGATTGACTTCCAGGGTTTCAATATGTCTCATATATCAATAAAGGTGACACGTGAAACTGCTCATGTATTACAAGAACATTATCCTGAACGGTTGGGTCTAGCAATACTGTACAATGCACCAAAGTTCTTTGAACCATTTTTCACGGTAACTAAAATTTTTTCCTGTCTCACATTTATCCTTCAATATCTTTTTGCTGCTGTATATATTCGTATCGTCTTTATGATGTGTTAAATGAAGCTGCTACATAATGTTCTAAGTTTGAACTCGGGTGTTATAATTGTAATTTCGATAGATAAAAAAAGAATGATGCCCAAGTTGATAATGTGTTTCTACTATTTTTAGATCCTAGGCTAGATTGGGTCTAAATGATTTTCGTTCTTGAGAAACTTCCAATGTTTCAGGTGTATTTTAGCCACTCAAGATGAGATTGAAATTGTAGTCCACTTGGCCCAGAATTGAAGCTCTGGATCCAAGCTTTCTTTCCTTTTGCCCCCCTAGTTTTCTCGTCTCCCTACGTGTTTGTGTCAAGGACTGGATACACGTTTTCATCTTTTTTCATTTTATTTTTTATTTTTTCAAACCTGTTTCTTTACGTTTAATGAGACAGTAATGATACTAAAAAGTTAAAAGTACACTATTTATTTACTTATTATCACTTTGCCACTGTCATAAGAATGCGTGTACTGGTTTCTAGATCTGCATGACAACAATAAGGGTAATTTATGGTTTTTGCCTCTTAACTAGTGTTTATTTTTAGATGCTAATAATTCTGATCATTAATCTCGTACCATTTTCTGATAGAAAAACATGTATTGCTGCAGATGGTAAAGCCCATATTAGAGCCCAAGACTTATAACAAAGTCAAATTCGGTTACTCTGATGATCAGAACACCAAGAAGATTATGGAGGATTTGTTTGATTTTGATCATCTTGAATCTGCATTTGGTGGGAAAGATGATTCAGGATTTGACATAAATAAATATGCTGAGAGAATGAGAGAGGATGACAAGAAGATTCCCTCTTTCTGGACAAGGGAAAATTCTCCATCATCAGTCCCAAATAATGCTCCTCCTTCTTTAGATTCAATTAGGTTAGACTCAGATACTGATGCTTCTGACAATGAGAAAATAGAATCTTCCCCTGACCCTGTGATGGGCACAGATATCGTTAACCCTGATCAGAAAATCTTGGTTAGTGAAGCAGAAAGAAAGGGCAGTGCAGATGTGCATTAGAATGAGAAAATTACATACCTGAGCCTTTAAAATAATAAACAGGCACTGAGGTAGCAAGATGCTGTGACATTCTTATTTTGAAGTTAGAATCAAGAATCAAGAGACTTTTTGTTAACTTGATGTTGGATTTTATCATGATCACAGATGTTTTTGCCTTGTGAATTATAGCTTTTAACATGTAAAAGGGCATGGAACTCTTGCTTATGTATCCAGATCCAGCAGTGTTTTGCTACTATTGTGGTGGACAATTAATTTTTTCCCTCCCTCATGGATGGAAGAATGGTTTTAGTTATTTATAGCAAGCAGGTTCATCTTACCCTTCTCCCAATATCATGCTTGTCTAGGGTAGGGTAGTAGGGTTTCATTTGTGACTTTGTTTCTTTAGAAAGATGCGCAAAGTAAAAAAGTGTTTTATAGAACATGAATGTCTGCCTCCCTTTTATTTCATTTATCTCTTCAAGGGTAGACTAGAAAGCGTGATAACATATACCATGTCTGAACGTAAACGAACTTAAATAATGTATCAGTTGCTATAATTTTAGCCTTCAGATATATTTGAATGGAAACTGTACAATTAAATATTATGGAGGAAATTAACGTTGATATTTTAATGAATTAAGTGTGTATCTAATAGGGATATATTTATTTTAAGAGTTTAAATTTACTCTAATCATTAATTTATATTTTGTATCAAATTTTGACAATTTTACTATTGAATTAAAATTTCTTAATGCATAGATTAAGTTTAGAAATTTTTTTAAAAATTAAAAATTATTTGGTATTTTATTTTTGCTAATTTAAATCAACATATAAAATATTTTTATGATTATAAGTCAATTTAAATTAATGAAATGAAATATTTTTATAGTATCAAGAGCTTTTAATTTAACAGTTAGGTCGTTAAAGTTTGATGTAGAATGAGTTATTGAGTAGAATAAGTCTAGGTAAAATAATGAGAATTAAGTGAATATTTTCTTTCTTTCTCTCTCTTTTTCCCTCTCTCTCTCTATATATATATATATATATATATATATATATATGTGTGTGTGTGTGTGTGTGTGTGTGGAGTACAATGAGATCATGATTTATTATGAGAGATTATTACGAGAGACGAGGAGGCTAAATAAATTTTTTTAAAATAATATATAAGAATAATTTTATGTTGAGATTAAAATTTAATTTTAAATATTCACTTATAAGATTATTATCATTGTTATCTTTATTATTATTATTGTCACTATCATTATTATTATCACTATCATTGTCACTGCTATTGTAATTATTATCACCACTTTTTTGTATCATAGGACAATGACGATGATGGTAATGGTGTTGGGTGGAGGTTGCTAGTATTATTACTACATGTGATAGTGACAAAGGTGTTAATAGTTGTATATGTGACATTAATAGATGAGTATTTATAATTAAATTTTAATTTTAACTATTAATTATTTTTATTTATATTTTAAAAGTTATAATTTAGTCTTTTTTAATTCTCATAATAAAACATGTGTTTATACATAGATACATTATCAATATTAGCAAACACATTCATCATCTATCTTGCCTTTTACCTGATATCACTACGAAACACCAATAGGTTGATCACTTCATTTTACCCTTCATCCAATATATCTTCTTACAAACTTATTAAGAATAGTTCTAATCTAATACTACCTTGAATAAAGGTGATGTTATGCCTTAATATAACATTGACTTGGGGGTTACTGTTATGGAGAAGTTTCCAATTCTAACCATTTCATATAAAATTTGACGTCAATACGCCTAAACTAATTTTATTGTAACCATTCCGATATGGTTATAAGAAGATTGATTTAATTAAAGGTGAAGTATTTTAATCATAATTAGACCGACTTAATTACACTAAGATTAACTAGTACACACAAGACGTTAAGGCATTTCCAATGAAAGTAACTCATTTGAGTTGCTTCATGCATTGAAAAATGAAAAAAGTGGTTCCTAGTGTGCCATGTCAGCATTAAGTAACTCAAACACAAATTTACTCCAATGGTAAGAAACTTTAAGAAATTCAACTTTTAGAATTTTTTTCTAATCATTTATAAACCAAATTTAAATTTTTATTAAAAAAGATAATTGCACTACAATGAAAAAAAATAAATTACGAGAAAAAATACACAATAAGTAGATATTAAAAATAAAATAAAACAATAGTAAATACATAAATATTATACAAAATTAATTTTCATCATTATTATTTCCAAAACATTTCCAAATATGTTCAATAAAATTTGCTTGAAATCTGGTAAGGAACAGTTGCTTGAGGAAGCAACTCTCTCTCTTCTTCCAGCAACTCATGTTGCATGTCAGAGTCCTCGAATGACAAGAAACCGTAACTTGAGTTGTTTCACGGGACAAACAACTCCCATTAGAATTGCTGTTAGAAATTTTGCGATAAATTGATTAAATAGAATAACATTCTTTTTGTCTGTTACCTTTATGTATTATAAATATAAAAAGGGCTTGATGTTACATGTACACACTTATCCTTTCATCCTCATATTCTCATATTGTTACTTTGTTAAAAACACTCGGTTAACTGGGCACTAGTGAGTTTGTGGTTGACTACCATCGTCTAACCTTGTCATTCGAATATTATTCTGGTGGAGTTGCAGTTCGCAATTTGCTCACGAAGGTGCAATATAATTTCTTTTATCTTCAAACTATTTGAATGATGCTTTCCCTTCTATTTTTTCCTATTTTATAGAATTTCTTTTTTCTTTTCATTTCCATTCATACTTAAACATTACAAATTAAGTAAAATAATATTCTTCTTTCAATATAATCTATTTCATATTCAAAGATAAAATTTGAATCTTAAATAATTTAATTAAAAAATATAAATCATTATTTCTTATGCTAATTAATATTGATATATGCGAATAAATTAAATAAAAGTATCAATATTATGGAAGAAAAAATCCTAACGTGATATCAGTCAAAAGTAATACCTTGGTTTTGAAAAGGGAATTTTTGAATCTGAGAAAAAAAAAATGTAAAGAATGTTAACCACTCAAACAGTCAAGAATGGTTAACTGTTTCAACAATAAACAGTGTGTTTGAGTTTACATTGTGTACCGTCTCGGTCGTAGACCGATACATATTCTCGGCAAATCCAGTCTGTCGGAGGGCTTCAACAATATTATTGTATGCTTGGGCAATTGATGGTAGTTGGACAACCCAAGCATACAATAATATTGTTGAAGCCCTCTGACAGATTGGATTAACTGGTATCACGAAAAATAATGTTAAAAATAGACAAAAAAGT